TTATTTTTTAGAGCAATGCTAAGAGCACTCGCCCCCTGCACTCTCCGGCCAACACTTTCACTTTTATTGGGCCACGTTATATTGGTTGTAAGAGGTTACAGTCCAAAGCCTAAAACAAGCTTACGTGGCACAATGAAAGGGGAAGTGTTGGCCGGAGAGCGCAAGAAGCGAGTGCCCCTAGCACTGCTCATTTTTTAATATCCCACACACAATATGTCAGTAAAATCGACATCGATATCAATAGGAAATTGACAAATTTGTAGTAAATCGCCAAATGAAATGCTACAAAGTTGCCAAATGAAATGCATGCTAAATTATTTTATCTGCATTTCATCTATGATAGGATCTAGTCCAATTACGGTCCTCTCACTCCCACTCACACAATACACAACTCTGATTTTCTCTCTCTCAGAATTCAATTGTGTTTGCTGCATAATATGGCTGATACCGGCCTCATCCTCATCTCCTCTCTTATACAGGAGGCAATTTCCAAAGCAACTCCATTTGCTGCTGGACAGGTCAGCTTTGGTCCTTGTCCGCCGAAGGAGTTTGAGAATCTTGCTCATTTGCTAACTGCAATTCAACCTGTAGCCGAAGGCGCTGAGGAATGCCAAGAAAGTGATCGGGCGCTTAGGCTTTGGCTGCAGAAGCTCAAGGATGCAGTTTATGATGCGGTGGATTTGCTGGATGAGTGTGATTATCATGTTCTTCAGATGGAAGTTGAGACTCCAGGCCTGAAGCGGAAGCGGGATCAGGTACACACCTCCTTTTCTCCCTCCAATCTTGATGCCTTTAGTCTGCAGGTGGATAGAAAATTATCAGAGATTAATGAATCTTTAGCTGAAATTAGAAAGGAGGTAGACTTTATTAATCTGATGATCGAATTTAGAAAGCAAAAACTTGCATCTGATGGGCCAAATCATGAGATAGTCCCCATTCTTGATAGTTCGGAAGTTGTTGGAAGGGAAGATGATGTCTCAAAAATGGTTGACTTGTTAGATGAACTGAGGAGTAAACATCCAATCTCTGGCATTGCAATAGTAGGTGTGGCAGGTGTTGGAAAAACAACTGTGGCAAAATTAGTTTATATGAAGGCCGAGGAAGAAAAGCGCTATGATGTAGTAGCTTGGGTTTGTGTATCTGGGGAGTTTCATGATCACAGAATTTTGGGTGAGCTGTTGGAATATTTCAACATTAGCGGTGTCCGTCCAAATACAATTCATGAGCTGCTTCAAGATCTAGGCAAAGAATTAGAAAACAAAAAATTTCTTCTCATTCTTGATGATGCTCAGGAAAAAGATGCTAGCAAGTGGAATGATTTTCTCTTTCAGTTATCGGAAGTTGTGAAAGCCAATGGGAGCTCTATTGTCCTAACAACTCGTAGTGAAGGTGTAGCATCTGTGGTGGAGAAACTTCCTATGTATAGGTATGATATGCAGAGGCTATCAGATGATCAGTGTTGGATGATAATTAAGAAGCTAGTTCTCAGTTTACCTTCAAATGCCATTGGGTATTCTATTGCAAAACAATGTGGTGGCTTGCCTTTGCTTGCGACCGCCATAGGAGAAACAATGAACAGTATTGAGGAAGATGAATGGTTGGCTATAACAAGAAGTAGAGAATGGAAGTTAGAAAATAGAAATTCAATTTTGTCTGTGTTAAAACAGAGCTTCTTCGATTGTGTGCCGTCGAGCTTGAAAAAATGCTTTTCTTATTGTTCAATTTTTCCAAAAGGTTTTGAAATTAGAAAAGATGATTTAATTCAACTATGGATGGCCGGAGGATTTCTTCAACAATCTAATGAAAGCTCTATGACAATGGAGGATATTGGAAACAAGTACTTAAATGAGTTTGTGTCCAATTCCTTATTCCAATCTGTGAGAAGGGATGCATGTGTTGAATCTTACAAAATGCTTGATTTAGTGCATGATCTTGCTCTCTCTGTTTCGGAAGGTGAAACTTCTATTTGGAAGACTGAGTCCAATATTATTAATTCTAATGTTCGAAATTTGAGAATCGAGCATGATAGTGATGTGCTTTCAGCCCTTCCTCAGAGGTTGCATTCTTTGTTCTTGGATGGTGATGTCTTCATAGGAATGCAGTCAGATCTCAAAAGTTTGCGATCTTTCAAATTAGTGGAAAGTCAAACAATAAGATGGCCAATTTCTCTTGATAAATCAAAGCATTTAAGATACCTTGAAATCGCACAAAGCAAAATTGGAGCATTACCAGGATTTTCATCCAAGTTCCATATGTTGCAGACTTTAAAAGTTACGCAATGCAAATGTCTTATTATGCTTCCCGATAATATAAACAAATTAGATAGCTTGAGGCATCTTTATCTTGATAAACCGAACCTTATGCCGAAGGGGATTGGACACCTAACTTCCCTTCAAACTTTACCAATATTTTTTGTGCGAAGAGGGAAGGGATTCACAATTGAAGAACTTGGATGCTTAACCCAGCTCAGAGGGAAAATGGAGATTCGGGATCTTGACCTTATAACTTCTAAATCAGAAGCTATTAGAGCAAGACTAAATGAAAAGACAGAATTACACGAGTTGGTACTTAAATGGAACCGATTGATGAGATCCAAGCAGCATGAGGAGGTACTAGAGGGTCTTCAATCTCACTCAAATCTGAAAAGTTTAAGTATTATTGATTACAATGGATGTAGCTACCCGTCTTGGATAGATGGGCTCTCATCTCTTCAGCAGTTGAAAATTGAGTCGTGCGGTGAGTTAATTTCTATTCCAGAAGATTTCAGGAAATTGCGTTCCCTCAGTGTTCTTGATATTACTTATTGTTCTAAACTAAGGAGCATTCCAGAAGGGTGGCTAGCTAGCCTCACCTGCTTGAAGGAGTTAAGGATGGGTCCTTTCTGGCCAGAGTTGCTTGAATTTCCGGAACTTGCTGAGATCCATCACCTCCACGCATCCCTTGAAGCTTTGACATTGAATGGATGGGCTAAACTTGAGAGTCTGCCACATCGGCTTCAACATCTCACAACCCTCAAGAAATTACATATAAACGGGTGTGGAGAGAAAGCTTCTCTAAAGTGGTTCGGAGAGCTCAGTGTGAAAGAGTTAAGGATAGGTCCTCTCGACGTGGGGCTAACGGAATTCCCAGAACTCACTTTCATTCATCACTTTCCCTCCCTCGAAAGATTGGAATTGTGTGGATGGTATGGGTTAGGGTCTCTGCCACATCAGCTTCGACATCTCACTGCCCTCAAAGAATTGGTGATAAGGGATTTCGATAGTGTGTATGCTCTACCAGAGTGGTTGGGTAACCTCTCTTCTCTTCGGGAGCTGAATATTAGCAACTGTGTGAACTTGTTTTTACCTTCCGTTGAAGCCATGAGACGCCTCTCCAACCTGCAATCTCTTATTATTGAAGGCCCTAGGGTGCCTTGGTCCGAGTGGAAAAAGATTTCGCACATTCCTAATATCAGAATAGATGGATGGACTGTCCAATCTCAACAGCATTACATTTCGATTTTGTTTAGGAACAGAAAGGGTTATGTTTAATTTATGAGGTTAGTGCTGAAATTCTTTTTCATATTTCTCCTCTCAACAATCTTTTATCCAATTGATTATATTTATTTTATTTTAATTTACAGGTTAATATATAATTCTTCGGCAATGAAAGACCTTGTTGGAAGACATCTGACCCAATGGGAGCAAACACATAAGAGACCCTATTGAAATCAAAAGTTAGTCCAATAGTTTCATGGGTTTCCAGATTTTTAGGTAGCTCATTCTTACTTTTTTTACCATCTGAAACTTTTACATTGTTATAACTCTCACTCACAAGGAAACCTTGAACAGACCCATAACAATTATCAACTGATGCATAAGCAAGAGAAAACAGAGTGGTGCATAGCCACACCGCCATGGAAGCCTAGCATGCATGTTCACCAGATTTTGGTCAGTTTTTCTTTTTTTCATAATCCTCCCTCGGATTATGTGTACAAATTCTTTTGTTTAATTTATTTAGTTGTTTAGTTTAGCTAAATTGAACAGTAGCTGCTCTGTAGGGATAGTTGTAGTTCATAATAGATTTACTTATTAAGTGGTGTCTTCTCTTATAGGCCTCTGTCTGTTAAAAAGTATTCTCGTGGTTTAACATTGTTCCAAATAATTGCAATTTGAATTCATTTGAGCCAAGGTAGTAGAAAGCCCTAGGTAATGGTGGACGGTTGCCCACAACTTAGAGTTTAAAGTGTTTAGGCAATGCTTAGACAGTTTTTTTTTTTTGTTTCTTTAATAATTTTTTTGATATAATTATAAGAAAATAAAAAAAATGTAAGACAATTTTAAAAATTACAAAATAAAAAGAAAAATTAAATATTTTTCTATTCATTATCATGTATAAAAAGCAAAATTTAAGAGAATTACTTGATATTTATTTATTTTTAATATAATTTTTATAATAAATTAAATGACCGTCTTTTCATTAGGTTAAAAAAGATTTGCTCAGGTGCTTGAGGTGCCATTAAGCACACCTAATTGTACGTGGGCACACTTAATTGACCTGAGTGGTATAAACTGCATTGGATTTCTGTGTAGAGGCTGGTGCAGGTGGAATGGCACCACCGTTTAAGCCTGCTTTTTACAACCTTGATTTGAACCCTTGGCAGTACAAGTGCATTTATATAACATTATGTGAGAATATATGTTTATGCAGTGCAAGCGTCATGCATGACGCATGTATATAACATTATTTAGCATTAGTTCTCATTGTTGATGGCACACACAGGGCCAGCAAACTTGTACTGATGCACTTGTGATTCATCCATGCTTGAAATATCTCCAAGGTTCTGTGCCACATGTCTGACGCACAAACTGAACCCTTTTTCTTCAGTGGGATCTCATCTTCCAGGAAGGCTTGTAGGATTGTGAAAGGGATCAAATTATGTCTGCACCGTATGAACCTGAACCAGAAGTTTGACTTGGTTTTTCTTTTTCATTTTTTTTTAAATCTTGTTTTCTTAACTGATTTATAATTTTTATCAGACTACATACTAAATCAAATTTTTAATTATTCTGGCATTTTTGCAGTTTCTATTCTGTTGAATGCTTTGTGATGGATCTGGAAGCCTTACAACTCCTGGACATATGAAGAACATGCTTTCCACTAAATGGCTGTAATAAAAATGGTTACATGTCAGGGCCTCTTGTCATTGTTCTGAAGTACATGCACTTTGCTGAGGTTGAAGAGCTCGTAGTGAACCAGAATAGAGAATTTAACATTTCTCAAAATGGAGAACTATTTTGGATGACGCTATTGTTCCAGAGTACTCATGCATATACCAGTACCATATACACATGAGTTCTATACCTGATGAGTGGAAAAAACATTAACTTTTACTTGCGAAGAACCAACAGATCAGCCATTCCATTTATTTTCAACGCTCTTGCTGCTCTAAGGTAAAAGAGTTCTTACAAGGGCCAAAAAACCACAATAATGGTATGGATTTCAAACTTTTTTGAACAGTGTACAATTTGGGGAAGGGCGAATGGGATTTTTTTATTAGATCAATCCCTCCAGCTCGCAGAAGGAAACCAAATCTCATCAGATCAATCACTCCACCTCGCAGCAGAAGGAAACCAAATCTCCATAATATATTATATGTATATTGTATTTAATTGTAGTTTCCTTATTTCCTAGGTTAGACAATTCCTGAACTGTATATATATTGCTCTGTATTTGCTTAATAAAATATAACAGCTTAAGCCTCAATAGTGGTATCAGAGCCATCTCTCTCTCAAACGAGAATTTCCAATACCCATGGCCTCCTCCAACAGCACCACCCCTGCAGTCGGTGAAACAACCCCCAATTCCGCTGCCACTTTCCTCACTCCAACCAATCGAGGCCCTATCTCTTTCAACGCTGGTGCTTTCCCTCTCAAGCTCACCCCAAACAACTACCCATCCTGGCGATATCAATTCACCAATTTGCTTGCTGGATATGAACTTCTTGGATTCATTGATGGCACATATCCTTGCCCAGTGGCCACTGACCCACTTTACCGTCCTTGGGCTCGACAGGACCAGCTCCTTCGTCATGCTCTCATTACCTCTGTCTCTGAGAGCATCACACCCTATATTGCTACTGCTCCCACCGCTTAACATGCATGGGAAACTCTTGAGAAACTCTATGCCAACCGTTCCCGCACTCGAGTCATCACCCTCAAGGAACGGCTGCAAAATTTGCGCCGAGATGGTCGTCCTGTCTCTGACTATCTCCGCTCCATCAAAGCTATTGCTAATGAACTAGGAACTGTTGATCGCCCCCTCACAGATGATGATCTCACTGTCTACATCCTGAATGGATTGGGTCCTGAGTTTCGTGAAATTGCAGCCTCCCTTCGTACTCGTGACTCCTCTTTGTCTTTTGATGATCTCCATGATCAGCTGGTGGCCCATGAAGAGAGCCTAAAACGAGATGAACCCAAACTTGACTCCGCTCCGGTGAGTGCCATGTTTGCTGCTTTTCCTAACTCACAAACTGTTGCAGGCTCCTCTTCCTCCTCTTCATCTGCTGGTCTTCTTCCCACGCCACTTGGTGGTTGACTTGCTCAAAGCAGTATGAGCTCTCGTAATGGCCCAATCTCAAGCCGGCCCACTATCAACAGAAGGCGTGGTCCTTTCCCTCGGTTCCCCAACAGGCCTGCACCCATCATCTGCCAGCTTTGTGGTACCCCTGGTCATTCTGCTCGAACTTGTTCCCTCTTTCGAACACAACAAGGCCCTCTTGCTAGCATGGCTACATCCTCTGTTGGGTCCCCTGATACTTGGCTTTTGGATTCTGGAGCATCTCACCATGTCACTACTGACCTGGCCAACCTTGCATTACACTCTGAATATCATGGACCAGACGAACTCCAAATAGGTGATGGAACAGGTTTGCAAATTACACATGTGGGGCACTCCACACTTTCTACTCCCTCTACCTCTATTCCCTTGCATAATATCTTATGTGTTCCCCATGCTTCCCGCAATCTATTATCTGTTTCTCAATTATGTGAAAGTGCTAATGCCTATGTTGAATTTCACCCTTCTTATTTTTTACTGAAGGATCGGGCAACGGGGGCGACGACGGCACGAGGTCCAAATGTTCATGGGACATATCAACATCTCGGAAAAATCAGAATTAGGCCTACTGCCTTAGTAGGAGAAAGAGTTTCATTAGTGAATTGGCATTGTCGCTTGGGTCACCCATCCACAAAAATCCTAAACTCTATTATTAATGTTTATCAATTACCTATTTTAAATAAAAATACTCTTTCTCCATGTGATTCATGTGCTTGCTCTAAAAGTCACAAATTATCTTTTTCAAATTCTTCCATTACCTCTCAATTTCCACTAGAACATATTTATTCTGATGTTTGGGGCCCTGCCCCTGTTATCTCCATTGATGGTTACTCCTACTTTCTTTTATTTATTGATCTTTACAGTAGATATACATGGATTTTTCCAATTAAACGTAAATCTGATGTTGCCTTAATTTTTCCTCGATTTAAACAACTTGTGGAAACCCAATTTGACCTCAAAATTAAAAATTTTCATTCTGATGGCGGGGGCGAATTTATTGCTCTGCGACCTTTTCTATCTCAACATGGTATATCCACTTTTACAAATCCTCCATATACACCCGAATTAAATGGTATTAGCGAGAGGCGTAATCGCCACATCGTTGAAACCGGTTTATCTTTACTTTACACATCTTCCCTCCGTCCTAAATATTGGTCTTATGCTTTCCAAATGGCAGTTTACCTAATTAATAGGTTGCCTACTGCTGTTCTTCAATCTATTTCCCCTTTTGAAAAACTGTTTTGTCATAAGCCTAATTATCTCAAATTAAGAGTTTTAGGTTGTCTCTGTTTTCCATGGCTGCGTCCTTACACTCACAATAAATTACAACCTAGATCTCGCCCTTGTTTATTTCTAGGCTACTCCATTGAAAATTTAGGGTATAAATGCCTTGATTTACAATCCAGCAAACTATTTCACTCTCGCCATGTTTTATTTCATGAATCTATTTTTCCCTTTAAAAATTCCTCTAATTCTACTGATTTTAATAAATTTCATCCATTTTCTAACATGTCCCCATCTCTCCCCCAAACTCTTAATCACATGCCAATCTCGCCACATTGTTCCGAGCAAGTCACGTCCCATGGTGTCCTTCACGAGCCCGTGCCATCGTCAGAACCTGCTCATGCATCCCAGGTACGTCCCGTTCCCTTATCCTCACCAATCTCATCACCTAGTCCTCGTACCCTTCCCCCTCCCACACTCCCTGGCTCACCTTCCTTGTGTCCCTCCTCTTCCTCAACCCTCTCTAACTCATCTAGCCCATCCACCTCATCCGGTTCTCCCAACCTTCCCTTCGCCCCAACCCACCCTCTTCGAACACACCCTATGGTTACCCGAGCCCAAAACAACATTTTCAAACCCAAGCAGCTCTTCCACACCACTCCTACCCCTGCTACCACCTCCTTGGAGCCCACCTGTGTATCCCAAGCCTTGAAAGAACCTGTTTGGAGACAGGCCATGTCGGAAGAGTTTACTGCATTGGTTAGGCAAGGTACTTGGGAACTGGTGCCCCCAACTCCTGATCAGCATCTTATTGGTTGTAAATGGGTCTTTCGTGTTAAACGAGGCAAAGATGGCAGTATTGAGCGCTATAAGGCGCGTCTTGTGGCCAAAGGTTTTCATCAACGGCCTGGTTTTGATTATTTTAACACTTTCAGTCCAGTTATTAAACCAACAACTATTCGGACTATTCTATCTCTTGCTGTCAGTCATGGATGGCCCATACAACACTTGGATGTTAATAATGCCTTTCTTCATGGCAAATTAGAGGAAAATCTATATATGCAACAGCCTTCGGGTTTTGTTGACTCTGACAAACCTCATTTTGTTTGCAGGCTTACAAAATCTCTTTATGGATTAAAGCAAGCTCCATGAGCTTGGTTCCGGGAATTAAAATCTTTTATTTTGTCTTAGGGATTTTACAATTCTAAATCTGACAGCTCTCTGTTTATCTATCACAAGGACTCTACTCGGCTTTACTTCCTTGTGTATGTTGATGATATTCTTCTCACAGGGAATGACTCCGGTCTCCTTCGTTCTCTAGTGCACAAAATGGGGCAATGCTTTTCTCTCAAAGATCTTGGCCCTCTCACCTTCTTTTTGGGCATTGAGGTTATTCAGACACATGCTGGGTTATTGCTCTCTCAACACAAGTATATTCTTGATATTCTGTGTCGAGCTAACATGGATGCTGCGAAGCCCGTCTCCACGCCACTTCCTTCCAGTGCAAATTTGAGTTCTTCAGCAGGTTCAGCTCTTTCAAATGGCTCTGAGTATCGACGTATCTTGGGTTCTCTTCAGTATCTTACTCTTACTCGGCCGGATATTTCCTTTGCTGTAAGCCGATTGTCTCAATATATGCATCAGCCTACTGATCTTCATTGGCAAGCCTTGAAATGTGTTCTTCGGTATCTCCGAGGTACTATTTATCATGGATTGCTTCTTTGGCCATAGCCATCTCTGTCACTCCATGCCTATTCTGATTCCGACTGGGCCGGTGATCGGGACTCCTCCATCTCCACCACTGGTTATGTTGTTTTTTTGGGTTCTAATCCAATCTCGTGGCGGGCTGCTAAACAGCGGGCGGTTGCTCGTAGTTCCACTAAAGCGGAATATCGTGCTCTAGCTGCCACTGCTTCTGAGTTGATTTGGGTTCGCAATCTCCTCTCTGAATTGGGTGTCTCTGTTCCTCGCTCCCCTGCCATCTTCTGTGACAATGTCAGTGCCACCTATTTGAGTGTGAATCCTGTTCTTCACTCTCGCATGAAGCACATTGCTATCGATCTTCACTTTGTTCGGGATCTTGTGGATCGCGGCTTCCTGCATGTATCTCACATCTCTACCCGTGATCAGCTCGCAGATGGTCTTACTAAGCCCCTTTCCTCTGCTCGGTTTTGCTTGTTACGCTCCAAGCTCGGCATCGCTGATAGCTCTTTCGTCTTGCGGGGGCGATATCAGATCAATCCCTCCAGCTCGCAGAAGGAAACCAAATCTCATCAGATCAATCATTCCACCTCGCAACAGAAGGAAACCAAATCTCCATAATATATTATATGTATATTGTATTTAATTGTAGCTTCCTTATTTCCTAGGTTAGACAATTCCTGAACTGTATATATATTGCTCTGTATTTGCTTAATAAAATATAACAGCTTAAGCCTCAATATTTTCAAGACATTGGTGGGGTTCAAAACCCCGACCAACAAACCCAAACGCTTAAAGGCTTGGGGATGAACCACTATGACCTGAAGGTGAGGTTCGGATTTCAAACCTATTGTTTTCAGCAGTTTTCTGGAATTCTAAAATCCATTGTACATGATTTTGACTAAGATCTGTATACAACTGAAGGTGTTGGGTGATGCAATAATATATTGAAAGTCAACACATGGAGTGAAGAAAAATTGGGAACAAGATCCCTTTGCGCCTAAAGATTGCTCCTCAGTTGGGTGGTCTTGATAGCATCCATGTAGGTTATGATTATCCTTCTAGCTAGGATGAGTATGAAGCTCACAAAGTTTTTCCTTACTGAGTACTAATTACATTGAACATGCAGGACTTATCCTCAAGGCTCAAGCAGATTGACGTGGTAGATATGTCCTCTTATATCTTATCTCAGAAGGTAAATATATCTCTCAAGAAAATAAACTGAGAAGATTTGATAATAGAAACCGACTGAAAAGGCCAACAATTATCATCTATTAATCAATGACATTGAGTAGACTAAGTTGTTTGTTTCAGGGGTCATCAAGCATTGGCTTAATTGGAGAAGTTACAATTTATATTCTATCTCAGCTTCTCTTGTTGAAGGTATTGGAAGTTTAAAGAAGGGGTTATGATGACCGATGATGAAGCAGAAATTGTGTTAATTGACATTTTATTAAATGTCCATCAAAGCTGGTGAGTTCTCAAGTTCTCTCTATTCAGTACGGTATTGGTGACATTTTATTTAGGTTGCTTTTGGCGGGTTCAATTGTGTTAATTGAATCTCATATATTTTTTCAGCTCATTTTTTTCTGGTGGGGCCTTGCGGGATGTGCAACTAACCAAGAAAAAAATACTGCCAAAGAGTAGGTATATAGTGACCATGACTATGAGGCACAAATTACAAAAACTTTGTTGATTGCATTTCATTCAGTTTGCATTGGTTCATTTGTGAGGAACAAACTGAACCCTATCTTCTTCAGTGTCTCTGCTCGTTTTCTTGGAAAGCTATTGCAGAAATACACTGAGGCTCATGAAGTGTCTTCAAGCAGTGGCAGATACTCTGATATGTTTGATTGTCTGAATAAGTTTGATCTGGGGGCTTCTTCGGATGTTGATCTTAGGTCTAAGTGGTTGAGATTGCTTTCGGAGATCAGAACAAAAGCTCTGTTTTTGTGACTTTTTTCCCATCTGTTATCCATTTTCTTCTTGTTTTTCACTTGTTTCCCCTTGCTTTATGCTGTAGTTGTGGTTATATTTGTATCACATTCTTGATATAGTGGATTTATTTTTACGGACCAAAGGTCTCGTAGTTTTTACTCTTCTATTTGAAGAGGTTTTCCATGTAAAAAATTGTGTCTCATGTTTATATTCGATTGCTTTGGTCACTCTTATTTGTTTTATTGAAAATAAAAATTGCATAATTTTGAGTATAAATAAATTGAAGAGTGGAGATGTTGAACTAATTTTGTCTGAAAAATAGATACTTATAGTCAATATATGTTAGCTGATGATTTTCAACGTAATAAAAAAGTATTATGGAAGCTGATGAATTCTGCTATTAATGAAGAAATAATATTTATGGGCAGAGAACTGATTTTTAAGTTTGGAAATTAGAAGCAAGTGCAGAATACTCTGTTCTACTTTTGTAATTTGGGGACTTATATGGAGATCATTAAAATAATTATAATTTCCTTTAATTTTTTTCGTGAAGAAAAAATTTCCTTTGCAGAATATATTTGGATTCCAGCTCCAAATCTTCCATCCGCATCCTAATCTTCATCTACTCCAACAATGTGAACAGATTAGC